GGAATGTAAACTAACCTTTTCCAATCCTGTGGCCATTGTTGAGTTTTCCAAATTTGCAGGCAAATTGAGTGTAGCACTTTTACTGCACCGCCTTTCAAGATTTTGAGTAGCTCAGCTGGAATACTGTCACCTCCACTAGCTTTGTTGTTGCTCAGACTTCCTAAGGCCCATTTGACATTCCAGGATGTCTGGCTAGAGGTCAGAGACCATCCTATTGTGGTTATCAGGGACATTAAGCTTGTTCCTGTATAGTTCTCCTGTGTAATTTTGCCACCTCTTTTTAATCTTTTCTGCTTCTGTTGGATCCCTGCCATTTTGGTCCTTTATTATGCCCATCTTTGCATGAAATGTTCCCTTCATAGCTCCAATTTTGTTGAAGAGATTAATAGCATTATATGATTGAAAAGAAAATATACATATAGTCACTAGGAGTTGAGTTCAACATTGAATGTAAATGCATTACAAACAAAACAATGAAATACTACCACCCATCAATGTTACTGCCTTCTAATGCCTATGGGGGTATTGCTGGAAATAAATAAGGGGAATCCTTTGCAGCACAATTATAAATTTTATTTAAAATTAAATTCATCCGAATAGGAACAGGTGATAAACCCCCCAAATGTCCACAAATCCATTAATGCTCATACACACCACAATGCAAAACCTAGATATGAGCACTTCTTCATTGGGCAATAATGGTCCCTTCTGCTGGCAAACACTCAACATGTGAAGAATGGAGAAAAAGCTGTAATGACATTAGTTTTATATTATATATCTAATTATCTGCATCAATGAAATAGAGTTATCCATGTGTATCAGCATTTATATATCATCTAGTAGTTGCTTAATGAAATGTAATTTTAAAAATTTCAGAAGAGGCAGATTTCTCCATAATAATTGATCAGTATGTTTCATTGTAAAAAAAAAGTCTAAAACAATATTCAGTGATCTGGACTAAAATACTGTGTCCCTTGTGTTCTTTCCAGAACAAACTGATTAATTAAGGCAACATTTAAAAAAAAATTTTTTTTCTTAAGGTGTGGGCTACCTAATATGAAATATGAATTAGCTCATCAGCTGTAGCTCTATTAATTCAACAGCTAATGTATATCTAATATACAAACTGAAACATTTTTGTTGGTTCTTTTGTATTATTGAATCTGAGCAAAGACAAAAAACAGATGGTGGAGAGAGAAAATAGAAACATGGGAGAAAAAGAAAATATAGAATTCTCTTCAAGGCTTCCTATATTAAATAATTTCACAATTATTTAATATAATCAGTCATAGGATTGACTCATTACAAAACTATTCTAAATACAGTTCTCAATTTCTTTTAAAAAGCCCTACAGTACATGTGCAGTATGACAAAAAGATACAAGGACATTAGGGAATAAAGAATATATGTTATAGATCATTTTTGTTAAGGACCAAATGCCATTTGATGGTTATTATCTGCACTATTATTGATTGAATTTATTTTAAAAATGACAAAGCAATCTGGTTTGCTGCATTCATAACAGTAAACACCAAAGAGCACTGTTCTGTCACTATGTGACAAAATGGGACTTTGTACTCTTGAAACCCTGTTAAGAATCTCCATCTTTTGCTGAATTTTAGTGGCACTAAATAGCAAATGGAATGAAAGGGCTAAAGGTAAAGTTGACAATGCTGTCCACTGAATCATCTGAATGAAATAGTCAAAAATCTGAGAAAATACAGTGTTCAATCTAATTAGTGTATCAGAATTTATTCTTGAACCTAGATTTTTAAAAAAAACAATGAATTAGAATGGCTTTTGCAAAGAGATGTCATGCTTGTATTAGATTACATAGGCATCTGGTTCATTGCAATGAGAACAGAAAGCAGCATTTGAAACTTTATTCACCACCAACAGCTTCTCATTGCCATATATAGGCAGGAAAATAGAGATGTAAACTTTATGTGAAGAGTGTAGCCTTTCTCATGGACAATTTGTCATTAAAATGGAGAACAGCTGAGAATCAGAGTTGCCTTTTTGTGTAAAACTCATGTTTTGATTAAGGCTTTCAAATAATAAAACTGTTAAGCAAAGTAATAAATAATAAAAATGCATAAAAAGAGCCAAGCAGTAAAATTTCCAGAGATGCAGCTGCAATCTAGTATTACTAGATGGTTTTTCCCCCTTTCAATGTTAGCTTTCAATTACTAAAGGCTTGCATTTACAATTAGCCAGTCTAATTCAGCAAAGAAAGACTGAAAAAACTCTGCAAACATGTTCTTAGGTGACTTGAAAGAGCAATAAAATGGCAGTTGTGGGTACCAAGTACATATGAGAGAGTACCAAAGAAAAATACTTCGATTTAGCCATTTTTTTTCCTTTTGAACGCATTGCCTCAAGATGGAATAACGGGAAAACAATTGAGGCAAATCAAATCATTAGAAGTAGACAACGCCACACATAAAAGCAGCAAATTATTAAGGGTCCAGAGTTTTCTAATACAGAAAAATTAATATTCTAGCTTTTTGCATTTACCAAAAAGAAAAAAAAAGGGGGGGAGTTCTGTGTTTTCACTCCCTCTGTTCCAATAAGAGCCACCCGTCTCTCAATGGCCAAACAAAACCTTCACGCGTACGGGCAGCTTATTCTCGAACAATCACACGCAAGAGACGATGCGCGTTGATTTCATCGCCCCTCCCTTGTGAATTCACACTGGCCCGTGTGGGGAAACGGCGGACGCCTTGCTTTGGTGGATCCAGACAAACTGTTCAGAGAAAAGCTGGGCAAGACTTCTTTCTTTCGAGTACTTAAAAAAAAACCAGGGGGAGAGAGAGAAAATATACCCTCCAGGGTATTTGGAATCGCAAAGGGAAAAAAACTTTCGGCTCGGAACTCTCTCCTCAGCTTCAGCTGTCCTTCTCAAGGAGCAAGCCCTTACCTACCGACCTACCTACCTGGCAACTCTCGAGTGGAAGCTGACCCGGCTAGGCTTTTCCTAGCTAGGAGACCGCGCAGTCCTCGGCTCTTCCCACCGGCCCGAGAAAAACGGGAGGAGGAAGGGAGAAATGTTTTCACGGGGAGCTTCTTCGCGTCGACCTGAACCCCCCACCCCCCCCACCTTCTCTCTTACCTGCTGTTGGATCTTGCCGTCTTCGGTGACTACCCAGTGCGTGGTGGCAGCGCCTGGATGAGACGCCAAGCCCAGCAGCAAAAAGAGGCCGAAGAACGAGCGCAGGGAGGCGCACGCCAGCCTTCGGCCACTCCATCCGGACGCTCCTGCTGAAACCGCCATCTTCCACAACCTTAGCCTTGCCCGCCTTGCCCGGAACCGGAAGCGCTCAATTCGCCATTTTGGAGAAGATGATGCGTCTAGCTCTATCGCTCTGTCTTACATCATCATAAGAAGAAAGAGAGGGTTATTTTTTTTAAAGGAAGAGTTCGAACGACGCGAAATTGGGTGGGTGGATATGTGGTGGATATGTCTGCGTGCTGTTTGACGCGGGAATGAAAAAAATGCGGAGCGAGTGGTCTGTTTAATTTGTAGAATGGCGGTAGGAAGGTGACTCTTGACTTTTTGTAATTATCTCTACAGGAGTACCGGAGGCGGGAGGAAGAATGTGGCAGAAGAGGGCGTGGCCTCCAAGGGAGAAGGCGCGGCCTGTTGCTTGTTTTCGTCGCCCGTCCTGCGGTTCCACGTGCAGCTCTGAGGCAGCAGCCAATCCGGAGCTCCGTGGCGCCGTCAGCCGAACGAGGTTCCACGCCCCTTTTGTTGGCGGAGGGAAGGGGAAGTTACTCCGGTGTTGCACCTGCCCTGCAGAGCTTGAAAACGCGCAGTCACTCTTGGCTCAGCCAAAGAAGTTGGCCTTCGGACTGCGAGTGATGATTGGGCAGCTGGTTGAACAAAAGCGCCGTTTTGGAAACAAAAGGATTGTTTTGGAAACGGAAATCCTGCCCAATTCCTCTTTTAATTCCCCCCCACACCCGGAGGAATGTTTCTTTCTTGGAGACTGAGCCGTATGAAGAACGACTGCAGGTTTTGGGATTGGATAGTCTAAAGAAAAGAAGAATTAGGAGTGACATGATAGCAGCATTCTAGTGTTTGAGGAGCTGCCACAAAGAAGAGGGGGGTCAAATTAGTCTCCAAAGCACCGGAGGGTAAAACAAGAATCAATGGCTGGAAACTAATCAAAGCGAGAAGCAACCTGGAATTGAGGAGAAAAATCATTAACAGTAAGGACAATTATTGCGGGACATGATGGCTCAGTGGCTAAGACGCTGAGCTTGTCGATCAGAAAGGTTCTAATCCAGTGGTAGTCAACCTGGTCCCTACCGCCCACTAGTGGGCGTTCCAGCTTTCATGGTGGGCGGTAGGGGTTTGCTGTAACTCTGCTTTATAAATTTTATAAAGTAGTTACTTCCCTACTTTATAAATCACCATTACTGTGGAACCGGTGGGCGGTTAGAAAATTTTACTACTAACAGATACAAAAGTGCTTCATTACGGAAGGTGTTTAAGAGACTGGACAATCACTTATCTGAGATAGTATATGACAGTTCTGCTTGAGCAGGAGGCTGGACTAAAAGACCTTCAAAGTCCCTTTAGCACTATTCTAATTCCTTTTGACCAGATTTACGATAAATAGCGGTTGACTACAGGAACCAAATACAAAGTCCAGCTGAGGAGATAATGGTCCAGTCCATGATATAACAGCACATATTAACTAGCTTGTCAAGAGGTAGATTGTGTGAAGAAAATAATTAGTTGCTTCTGCTTGTCAGTTGCAAATTATGAATGTTTCAAGAATTAACTTTGTTTTAAGAATTCAATAACAAAAGCCGAAACACCCAGGTATGCTTGTTTCTGAATAACTTGTATTTTTACATAGCCACATATCTATAAGAATCTTAAACACTGCTAACATTTATACTATTCTGAAAATGCAGAGATCAAGGGCTTCATAATTTGTTCTGCACGTTTTATCAGTATCATTAAAAAATAAACAGCCACAAATCACTAACAAAATTACAAAATGGATTTATTGCAAAATAATAAAGGAAATTTTACAAATAAAAAGTGGTTAAAGGGTGTCTCCAAAATAATTCACTGCATTTATAACACAAAATGAGAGCTATTTCTAATTGACAATTTGCACATTATTTCCGAGAACTATATTGTCAACCTATTACTCAACAGAGCCCCCTCCCAAAACTCTATGTAGTAAAAGTAGTTAAACTTCCATAAAAGCTGGGTTTCTAAAAACTGACAGTCCAAATAACAAATAGAATGAATTAATAGAAAATGCTTCAAAATCTAATCCACTATTTGTGGTTTGAATTGGTCAATTTTTAGTATAATAGCTTAATGGGAGACACAAATTACCCCTCCAAATTAGAATCCTTTTTTTCAATGCAACTTGGAAACTTTAAAATCACTTTCTTTATAACATGAGTACAACAAATGTAGAGCAGACCCTTAACTTGAATCATTTTGCTCAACATCTCTATCTGAAAAGAATGAGAGAAATCTGTAGTTACCAAGAAATGCATCTCTGTCCATTTTATAAACTAATTTTAGCTAATACACATTACAAGTTGTCAGAAATGTCTATGTACAAATAATTTGACTCTGTTATGCCTTCCAAAATGGTAAAAAAGGCTTGGGTCTAAGATAAAAAGAAATTTGCAGTTCTTTAAATCCAACTCTAGCTGGATTGATTTCAATGTTTTTACTCCTTTCTGACATTTATACTGTCATCTGCACCTTACAATGTTCAGTCCAAAAAGAAAACTGGGAAAAATTCTCAAAGTTAAATGTCAAACACTGAAGCAATTGCATCTGATACAGTACAATGTTTTAAATAAAGGTTTGAAAATGTCTACTATAAGGAGCTTTTTATTTTGGAAGAATTACCAAGATATTTGTGTGTTGTTGTTTTTTTTAAAAAAAAAACAAAGTACAATTAAGCTGTTGCAATTTTACTTATTTTAAAACACTCATTTAACTGTCTTGAAAAGAAACAGCTGCTCAAGGCCAAAAAAGCATCTTAATTTAACAGGGATCAGGTTACTAATTAGCCACCCTAATATTTGCTACAGGATTCAACTTCTCTGGATTGAATTTTATTTTTCACTGGATTTTTTGTGTGCGCCTAGCCACATTTGTACAGAACTTTTAAAAATCAATTTGCAACACATACACTGTATAACCATATATGGAGAAGAGCAAGATAATGTTAAAATTAACACATTTCTCCAGAAATGATTGGATTGGTTTAAGATAACATGTTATCTTGTTGAACGCTTTAAAAATCGAAGAATTCAGTCAATGAACCATGCCTTTGGCGGTTTATAGTTCTTTTGCAATATAATTCTTTCCTATGTGGAAATATGATTCAGTTTGAAGAGAAGTTCCTACTCATTTCAATTAGAATATTTCCATCCATTATCTAGTATTTTATTATTATACAGTCCACTTTGTATTATAAGCCACATTTCTAGATGAATGTAACATCTGTACGGAAGCAGCTTCAGCTTGAACACCCATGCTTTTTCCTGAATAAATCTTGAAGACGCTTTAAAAACAAACACAAACTCAAAATACCAGCTGTTAAACATCCAAAAATACAGTTGTTGTTTCACTGAATCTATTGTCCATTAGAAAAGTAGATCATACATACAAAGGTGTAAGAACATTTAAACCAGTCTTTTGCAGAAGGCAAGTCTTTTAGACAACGTAGCCCCCTACAGACAATCCTTCAAACTTTAAAGATGCTTTAGCCATACAATAATGGCTTTGGAAATGCTTTCAGTAGATTCTTCCACGACTGCGATTACCACGTCCACCCCATCCTCTTCCTCGTCCACTACGGAAACCACCTCTCTGCTCTGAAATCAAAGAAAATTAAAGGTTACGTCCCAGTGCATTTAAACTGTTTGACATAAAACAGTGTAATTTCCCATTTCTGGAAGTTAACTAATGATCATAACTGTTCTTATACCATTGTTTGAAATTAAAATAACAGTAGTATTTTAAAAATGGTTTTCTAAATAGTTAACCCCCCCTTCCGCTAAATATGAGTTTGTGTTTATTTTTAAATGTAGTTGTTTAATAGGAAGTGCAACGCTGACAGTTAACCAGACCAAGAATACCAGATAACCAAAATAAAAAGAGGAAAAAAGAAGAGCAAAGACAAAAGTGCAGAAACCAAAGAAAAGAGAAAAAAGGATTATAAGTTCGTTCCTTCTGATGTTCTTTTATAGCATTACATGTACGGGATAAGATAAATTCTTATTATTATCATATTGTTTATATTTTCTCTATAATCTATTTTTAGTCTAATCAAAATAATTTCATAAGATCGTAAGTAGCCCTGGAGAGGTCCATTTTAACTGCAAACAGTCACTAAGCAACTGGTTGTAAGCTGAGGACTATCTATATCAATATTTTCCTAAATTACATAATACAGATTTAAAATGAAATATTGGAATGCCTTCAAGAGCTAAGAAGACACATACATAATCCTAAAAAGGATACAAAGGGAGACATTGTTCTCAAATTAGACAGAATTGTAATAGTATTAAGCTTGTAATACTCACCATATGAAAAATTACCCAGGTTACTACTATATTTCCCACTGGGTGGATTGTAAATCTGCCTAGCATCTCTTTTGGGGCCAGCTTGGGACTTTTTTGCTGGTAAGTCTGAAGATGTATCTTCACTGGCTCGTTTTTGCCTTTAAAAAAAAGTCAGGGCCAATATAATTAGAAGACAAGTAAAAATTGAAAGATTCTTAATGTTCAATTTTGGAATATGTCAATGACAGTGAAAAAGTTTTTTTTTGTTCTATCATATTTGATTCTTTGTCACTGCCTGGACAAGTCCTTGAAGTTTTCTTGGCAAGGTTGTTCCATAAGTGGTTTGCCATTGCCTCCTTCCTAGGGCTGAGAGAAAGGGGCTACATTACCAGTTTTCTTTGGAAAGAAAATTATTTTAGAAGATGTAAAATCAATACAGTAGCATGTTTACTTTAAAATAAAAGGCAGTTCTGGTGTAATTAATGTTTCTTCTATATTGCAAAATCGTTGAATTTGAATGGCATTATTTTTCTTTTTTTAAAATAAACCTGGGAATAGAATAGATTCTCTTTGGGAGACAAACTGTTTCCACAGAAACCCTTGAAAAATGGACCAAAATCTGAAGGCATGATTTTTCCGGGATCTTTTTAAATTTTAAGTATAGGAATAGGTAATTTGCTTCCTACAGATTTCCATATCCCATTGTTCCCAATCTCCTAAAAAGTCTGAACACTTTTGTTCCTACCCAGCAACATCACAAAAACAGAGAACACCTCCCGATGCCTTCTGATTGGGTTTCAATGTTGCATTTACAAGTTGCCACCCATATGTTACATCAACACACCTTGCAGAAAAATTAGTTCGTTTCATCATATTTTGGCACCTTTTCTCTGCTCATAAAAAGCATAATGAAAGACAGTAAGATTCTTTGGACTGCAAAGAAAAGATTAGAACATTCACTGTTATCTTACCCAACTTCAGACTTCTGTACAGGTTTCCAGGAGAGTGTAACTGTACTCTTATATGAAGGAGGAATGTGGAAAAGATCCTAGAGGCAAAATGAGAAGTCTGTTTTGAATTTTCTGAAATCACATTTCTTGAATTATGAAATTTTTTTCTAGAAAAGTCTCATTTTAAAAAGCACATTTAATTTCTGAAGGTCTCATATATTTCAGAATGATGAAAATTTCTCAATCTCAAAAAATGTAACAACCTCATTTTCTCCTTATGTTGTTTTCAAAGACATAAATATTATACTTGACACAAGCTTTGCATATTGCTCAAATAGAATAATGACAGACTTGTCAATATTTTTGTCCCACAATTTAACACTTACCTTAATTAAAACGTTGATGTTGTTTGTTATTTTTAGTGCAACCACTTTAATTTTATTCTGCAAAAAAAAAAACAGACTATTTATTAAATCATACACCTATATGATTTAAACACTGAAATATCCTCTGCCATTTTCCCCAGTCCAATTTTTGGCATTGAAGGTACTAATTATTTCTCAGTAGGAATAATATACTTTATTCTAGTTGGAAGCTTTCACATTCACAGAAGCCTTGAAAACCATGTTAATAATCTGCAACCAATATGTAATTATGACATGGCTATCTAACAGCTACAAAAATTATTGAGTTAAGAAACTTGCTATTTACAACCTTTATAGTAGTTCTTGAAATTGATTGAATTTCTTGAAATGCTAAAACTAAGTGAACAACCCACTGCTGTACTCTGGAAGATTCTCCACAGATGCTACGATGGTAAAATCAACAAAATTGTCTCCTTCCCTCCTCCAAGAGTACCTAGCTTTGATTATCCTGTTTTGTTCAATTCACATTCAGTTGTGCATTTATTTATTTAATTTATATGCCATCCATATTGCTGTCCCGAGTGACTCTTTTATCAGTGAAAGACAGGCTTCTGATCTGCATCAATGTTCTTGGCCAGACTTTATAATATATCTTATTATACAGAAGACTCTAACGAGCAGAGACTTTTGGAGTACTTTTGGAAACAGAGAAAAATTTACATACTAGTGTTATGAACCAAGTCACTGTTATTAGGTGTACAAATCATATCTTTTATATTGTTATGAGCTTACAAATTGCAATTGCTGAACCAGATACTCAAGAACTTGAGAGTAACACAAGTGTTTGTCAGGTTTTACAATGACATGAAAACCGAACCTTTAACTAAAGTCATTTAAGGTCAAAGTTTTCAAAGACTTACCTCTTCTGTCTTCAGTGCTTCTCCTGTTTTGCCTTGGAGCGCCAAACGAAGTTGTCGGATATAAACCTGAAGTCCTCTAGCAAAATACTGTAATCTAGAAGAGAGAAGCATTTAATATAAAACTGTGCAGGACTATATGGTGAAACCAACAGCCTTCTTAATCTTAGGAAAGAATAACAAACTTGACCACCTAAAAAGAAACCTATATTGCCCGTCAGAAAAACTTCTGAACACTGAATTTGTAGTAGTAGGAAACATGTACAAAGATATAAATGCATGCAACATTTTAAACAATGAAGTTTTATTATAATCCAATGCTGTTTAATAATAAAATTGGCTAATTAAAAGTAGAAGTTTTATGAATAATAGTGCAGCCATTTATTATTTTACCCTGGAAATATCTTAGCACTGATTCTGAAATTCTAACGTTTTGCTGCATATTGGATGGACAATCAAGAATGGCTGCAATTATCATGGGAACTTGGATAAAGTATTTTTATTAGTCTCTGTCTTTGTCTAATACAATTCTGGATGAATACTGGAAAGGAACAGTTGAAACTAGCCATTAGGTTCCTTTGATTATGGCTTAGCAGTAAATCACAAATCTCTACAGGTTATTAGTTTACCACCTGGCAAAAGTCTCAGTCTACTCAGCTATTTTGCACTCTGACTCACCTAAATTAGAATATTTATTGAAAACAAGAATAAATCAAATGAAACAATTGACTACTAATTTACTAACAGTATGAATGTGCAAGTGCCTTTTATATCCTTGATGAGGCAAATCCATAGATTTTT